TGATGCACCCATGTCGGCCTCCCAAAGTGCTGGAATTACAGGCATGAACAACAGTGCCTGGCCTAGACCTTTTCATCAGTAGTAGTATTCCATTGTATAGATATGTCACAATTGGTATCTGTGCCTACTACAAATAAAGCTGCTATAAACGTTCATGTACACATCTTGGTATGGACACACATTTTGTTTCTCTTCAAAACGTATAAAAGTATACATTTAACTTATTAAGAAACCATCCTGGTGGGGTGCGTTTACTCATGCCTGTAATTCCAACACTTTGAGAGGCCAAGATGGGAGGATCATTTGAGGCCAGAAGTTTGAGACCAGCCTGGGCAACATACTGCTACCCTGTCTCTACAAAAAAGAATAGAAAAGAGAAAGAAAGAAAATGTCCAACTGTTTTCCAAAGTTATACCAATTTATATTCCCACCAGAAGTGTATGAGAGTTCCTTCCAGTTGCTCCACATCCTCACCAACACTTGGTATGGTCAGTCTTTCTAATTCAAACATTCTAATAGGTGTGTAGTGCTTTCTCATTGTGGCTTTAATTCGTGTCTCCCTAATGACTAATGACATTGAGCAACTTTTCATGGGAGTATTTGTCATCCAAATGTCTTCTTTGGTGAGGTGTCTGTTCAAATCTTTTGCTAATGTTTTGACTGGGTTGTTTGTTTCTTATTTATCACATTTGAGAGTTCTTTACATAGTCTTGATACAAGCCCTTTATCAGACATGGGTTTTGCAAACAGTTTCTCCCAGTCTATGGTTTGTCTTTTCATGCTTTTCCAAATGTCTTTCAAAGAGCAGAAGTTCTTAATTTTGATGAAGTCCAATTTATCAATTTTTTTCTGTATGAATCATGCTTTTGGTGCTGTGTCTAAGAAATGTTTGTTTCCATTTCAGTGCCTGGCCCTAGGCATGTATGCCCTTGTTGCTCAATCAGTGCTTGTGTCCAGCAGAGCAAAGGATGAGGCAGGCTGGCCGGGGGACTTTGGCTGTAGATGAAGGAAGACTAGAGGTGCTAGGGGACATGGCTCCAGAGGGCTGAAGAAACAGTGGTGGTACCTTGAGATGTCCCAGGAGGTGAGCAGGGCAGGCTGCAGCTGGGGAGGGAGGCCTGGGGCAGGGAGGTGCAACTTGGGAGCTTGGATGCTGTGTTCTCCTGCCATTGGTGGCAAATGGCATCTCTCCCCTTTCCTTTCTCTCCCTCCTTTCCTCCTGTCCTTGCTTCTGTCTTTATTTCTACCTTCTTTTTATTTCTTGCTTACTTGTTTGTGAGCTGGCTTTACATCTCTTTTGTGAACTCTTTGCCGTATTTCTCTCCTGGGCTCTTCTTGTCTATCTATCTAGTGGACCTCTGCATGTAGTAAAGGCACCAACCTTTCCTATTGCTCCCAATCTTCCTTGGAATCACGATTTTCTTTCTTTTGACACTGCCAACCTTTGCAGGCTTTGACCAAGCCACCATAGAACATTCTCAGACAAGTCACTTATCTCAGGCTCCCAGGTGTGCTTTCTCTCCCCAGTGACCCCAGACCTACTGGGGTGGAGGGAGGGGTCCATCTATTTAAGTGAGGAAGGGGTAGATCTGGGTCTTCTAGAAGAACTTTTGAAAGCTCTGTAGCCAGATGGGGTGGCACATGCCTGTAGTACCAGCTACTTGGGAGGCTGAGGTGGGAGGATCACTTGAGCCCAGGGTCAAGGCTGCAGTGAGCCAAGATTGTGCCACTGTACTCCAGCCTGGGCAACAGAGTGAGACCATGTCTCAAAAAGAAAAAAAAAGAAAACTCTGATGCTCAAGAAGACTTGTCATTCTCACAGCCTTTGCTGCCCCCACCAAAACTTTCCCCATGCTCTGGTGCCCCTGTCTCCTCCCCAGCTGCTAGGGCAAGCTGTTTGTGGGAGACAGATCACAATAACAGCATCAGTCTGGAATCTTCAGTCATGAGTGACCAAAACCACAGTTGAAAAATTATTGGCTCCTGTAACCAAACCAGGGGAGGCAGGGTGGCACCTAAATTGCCACACAAACATAGTGGCTTAAAACAGCTCACATTGACCCTCTCACCGTTTCTGCAGGTCAGAAGTCCAGGCCGGCTCAGTTAGTTCTCCGCTCAGGATTTTATAAGGTTGGAATCAAGGTGTCTGTCAGCCACCGGGGCTTTACCGGGAGGCTCAGGAAGATCTTGGGTCTAGGCTCATGAGAGCATGGGCAGCATCCAGTTCCTTAAGGGTGTGGGACTGAGGTTCCTGTTTCCTGGCTGGTATCAGCCAGGGCTGCTCTTGGCTCCTCAAGGACCCCTCTGGTGTCTCTGGACCAAATATGGGTCCAGTAAAGGAGGCCAAAGCCTTCTCATGCCCAGAATCTGCAACTTTCTCTTCTGCTGCATCACCTCTGCTTCCAGCCGGAGAAAGTTCCTTGCTTTTAAGGACTCGTGTGATTAGGTTGGGCCACCCCAGATCATCCAAGACAATTTTTCTTTTTTAAGGTCCATGACCTTAATTACATCTGCGAAGGCCCTTTTTTCCCTGTGACCTAACATAGTCCCAGGGTCCAGGGACAAGGGTATATAACATAGTCCCAGGGTCCAGGGACAAAGGTATGTAACATAGTCCCAGGGTCCAGGACAAGGGTATGTAACATAGTCCCAGGGTCCAGGACAAGGGTGTGGATATCTCTGGGGAAAGGGCATTCATTTGCCCACTGCAGGGCCTCGAAACCAGGATTCCAGCCCTGTTCAGACTCTGGCTTCTCTGTTTTGCTTTGCGTGTTGTTTTAGTCTTTTCCCTGCAGCGAAGGGGCCTGGGGCGCACAGCACAGCATTTCCCCAATATATTCAGAGTCACACCCTGAAAACCCTGATGATCAGAGACCAGTGCCCTTTGAAAATGCCCCGGGAAGAGCCTTGATTGGCCCAGCTCAGGTCACAGGCCCATCGCTTGGACCAAGCACATTGTTGGGGTGCAAGGGGTATAAGGTACCATGACTGGTTCAACCTGGCCGAGAGGTCACCCCTGAGACTAGAGGAGTGAGTTCTCTACTAAAATATGGAGAGAGGTGCCAGCTACAAACTCAGAAATGATGTTGTGATTATCATCATGGGGGCCACCTGTGGACCTGCTAGCGGTGCTCAAGGAGGCTGCTGCCTTAGTGCTTCACTGCAACCCTGTGAGGCCACACTATTAATTTTTTTTGAGAAAATATTTAATAATATTACTATTATTTATTATCATTTATGCTGGAAAGCAGTGATGCAATCATGGCTCACTGCAGCTTCAATTTCCCAGGCTCACCTCAGCCTCAGCCTCCTCTCACTTCAGCCTCCTGAAACCACAGGCACACACCACCACACCCTGCTAATTTTAAAATGTTTGTAGAGATGGGGGGTCTCACTGTGTTGCCCAGGCTGGTCTTGAACTCCTGAGCTCAAGCGATCCTCCTGCCTCAGTCTCCCAAAGTGCTAGGATTACAGGCGTGAGTCACCATGCCTGGCCAGGTTGCATTATTAATGCTACTCTATTGGCACCAAGTCCCAGCCCCACCACCGACCCGCCTCAGTTTCCTTCTCTGTAAAATGGGACTAATAAGAATCTGTGCCTGGCCAGGCTGTAGGGCTGATGGAGAAGCAGAGAGGAGGGTGTGTGTGAAGAGGAGATTTCATGTGTGTGTGAGTAGGCCTTTGGCCAGAGGCTGGGAAGGACCTCTGGAGCCCTCCAGCTCTCCAGCCCACCTCTCTCCCAGGGCAGCAGAGCCACAGGCAGAGAGATCTGGCAGGCCCAGTGGGAGCAGGGCTGCCCAGCCTGCACCTGGCCAGGCTCTGCTCCATGAAAAGGCAGCCATTCAGGGCCAGCTTGGACGGCAGCCGGGTGACGAGAGACAGGGAGCCCTGTGCTCCGGAGAGGAAGCAGGCCTCCGCGTGGCCTCAGCATGGGGCTGAGCTACCAGCCTGGGAGGGGAGGTGCCCGAGAGGGAAGACTAAGCTAGTGTTTGAGGCCGTGGGGCTGAAAGGAGGCTGTGTGTACCCAGGCCGGCCGCCCGGCGGGTGGGATGTGAGTCATGGTGGCCTGGGGGAGGGTGCTGCCTGGGCCCAGCTGTCCAGGACGAGGGGCACAATGCCCACCATGGGTGAATGTGTGGCAGTGTGTGCTGGGGGTGGGGCTGAGGCTCTGCACATCTGCCCAGGCCGCCCCGGGCTCCCTGGGGTGGGCACACCCCACTGCCCTCTGAATATGGCTGCCCTCCCTCCCTGCCCGGGTCTCCTCCAGGCGGCCACGCTGGCGATGTGGTCCTGCAGTTGCTCAGCCAGTGGGCATCAGCCCCGCCCTCCTGCGTGTTGCCCACCAGGAACACGGAAGGGCCGGTCCCTGCTCCTAGCAGTGCCCCGTGTGGTGGGACAGGTGGAGGAGGGACAGACAGAGGAGGCTCGTGCAGGGGAGCGCCGGCCAAGGAGGGAGCGCCTGCTCCAAGGGAGGGGGCATTTGAGGTGGGTTTTGAAAGATGAGCAGGCACTCACCGGATTCTCAAAGGCAGTGGGGAGAGCACATTTGAGCAGAAGGAAGCTGGGATCTGAGTGAACGGAGACAGGGTTGCTGGATTGAGGGGGGGGCAGATGCGGGTGGTGTTAAGGGTGTGTGGACAGCGCCCAGAGGGCCCTGAAGGTCATGGGAGGCACAGACTTGAGGACTTGAGCAAGGATCACAAGGGCTGCTCACGGATGTAACACGGCCCTGCCTGGTCCTAAGCCCCTTCCCAAGGGTCTACCAGGCAGAGTTTCACTGGTAGCAGATAAGCTGGCTGGGGGAGGCCCCTTCCACCTGGGAAAGCCCATGGCATGGTGTGTGTGTGTGTGTGCGCGCGCGTGTCTCTGGCTGTGTGTGTGTGGATGGGTGTGTCTGTGTTTTTTACCAAGTGTGCATGGATGTCAGGTGTGTGAGTGTGTACGTGTGAGGGTTACGTGCATGTCTGTGTATCTGACCTCTGTGTATAGGTGTGGTTTGTGTCTCTCCAAATACGCGTGTCTGTGTGTGCATGCATGTCCCTGGGTGTGTGTGCTTATGTGTCTGGGTTCACACATATGCCTGCATGTTTCTGCGTGTGTGTGAGTGATTGTGAGAGTGTGTGTCCATGTGTGCCCAACAACGCCCCTGCCGACAGTCGCCTAGGTGCAGCCCCACCGCCCTGTGTCTGGGGCGTGCTGCTCCACTCCTTTGCCTTCTGAACCCTCTCTGCTGGGCTTCCAGTTCCTCAGCATCTGTGAACTCCAGCTTCTTTCTCTGGCTGCCCAGCTCTACCCTGACTTGCCTGGGTCCCACACCCAAAAAGCCCAGAGCAGCCAGTGGGTGCCTGGCCACAGGAAGGAGTCCAGAGAGCTGCTCAGCCCCAGAAGGAGCTTCGTCCTCCCTCCGCTGACCAGCCTGGGCCTCCCCCCACCCCAGAAAGAAGGGGTGATTAGGAGCATGTGTGGAGGCATTTCCCAGCACCTCCCACCCGATTCTCCGGCCTTCGGGGACTCTCATCTAGGACTTTGTTTTGGATGACCTGAGAGTCCCAGGGGCTTGGCATGAGGGGAGACGGGGCCCGGGCATCTCTGCGGCTGCTGAGTGAGCCTCTGGAACTGGGTTTTCGTGATAACAGCAGCTTCTTTTGATGGATCTGCCCACTCCAGGCTGTTCCCATGAGGCTGCAAATCTCAGGACTTGTCCCAAACACAGAAGGGAATGCATAACCCAGGCCTGGCCAACCGTGGTACCCCTGCCTCCCCAACGTGATCATTGGCCCAGGTTGGGGACATGACCGAAGCGAGACTAGTGACAGTCCTTCCCTGGACATCTGTATATGGAGGTGAGAGAGGGAAAAATCTCTCTTTTCTCTGAGGTCCCTGAGATGAGGTGACAAATGCCTCAGCCCGCGTGTGAGCCCGTGTTTCTCCTGCTCTTCATGAAGACGCCCACGGACCTTAGGGAACTGCCAGGGGCTGGGCAACTGTCCAGAGAGAGAGGCTGTGGAGGGAGAGGGGATCCTGTTATATGAGCCAACAAATCCCTCTGGCTGGAGCCACCTTGTCTCAGGCTGCTGTCTCTCACAACCAGAGGAGCCCTGGGCAATACCTGCCTGGAACCGCACAGCTGGGTTTCCCGGGAGCACCTTTGCCTGGTGCTCGACATGCCTCATCGTTCCTCCCTGACCTTCTCAGATCCTGCACAGAGGCTGTGGACACCCTCTTCCACTCTTCTCAAGCTCCTAAACCCACGTCTGCTTCCTCAACTGCCACCTATTTCAGTGGGAATGTTTAACTTCCTTAACTCATTCCTTTCTGGCTCCAATCTCCTCCATTGCTGCTTCCCCATTCTGTCCTTCTCCTGCCCAGGTTCAGTGAAGCAGTGGCCTCCTCTGGCCCTGGCTCAAGGCCAACCAAGAGAGCAGGGATTGGAGGGCTCAAAGCCGGTGGTTCACAAACCTGCCTACACTTTGAGAATCACTGGGAATCTCTGGGGATTTACAGTCTCCTAGGCAGCATCTCTGCATGCAGGCTCTGGAACTGGTAAGAAGCACCTCCTCGGGGAGGGCAAGGTGTCTTCCTGCTTGTTGGGCTGGGCTTTATTGGGCAGGACTGGGCCATGGAAGGGCACCTCAGGGTTCGCCGCAGCAGGATGCTGCCTGGCATGCTTCCTGGCATGCTGCTTCTATGAGGGCCCTGATTGCAGCCTTTTTATTTATTTTTTTAAGATGGAGTCTCACTCTGCCGCCCAGGCTAGAGTGCAATGGTACAATCTCGGCTCACTGCAACCTCTGCCTCCCGGGTTCAAGCGATCCTCCCACCTCAGCCTCCCAAGTAGCTGGAATTACAGGCACCTGCCACCACGTCCAGCTAATTTTTGTATTTTAGTAGAAACGGGGTTTCACCATGTTGGTCAGGCTGGTCTCGAACTCCTGACCTCAAGTGATCTGCCTGCCTCGGCCTCCCAAAGTGCTGGGATTACAGGCGTGGGCCACGGCGCCCAGCCGCATGCAGCCTCTTTAAACTTTTTCCTGTTTCGGCTGAACGCCTTGTGATCTGGGCTTCTTTCTAGCCCAGTCTTCCCTTGGGCAAGGCGACTTCCCAGACTCCAGACCACCTCACGCCTTGAAGACACGGTCATCTCCTCCTACCTCTCTGCTTGCTCCATCCTGGCCTCCTCCTCCTCCCACCCCTTCACAGGAAAGACCTGTCCCCCGAAGAAATGTGTTCTCCCTTTTCATTTTCCCTCCCTACTTCCCTTCCCTCTGCCCTCGATCCAGACACTGCCTTGGCTTCACACGGGAACCATTTTTGGGGAACACCAGTTTACCTGGGGGCACTCCCCCAGTGCTTGTCTGGGCAGTGACCCCCTTGACTCAGCAGCCTTGAGGTCCCTCCTGCACTGGCCTGCAGGATGGGTCGGGTTCTCTGCAGTGGATATTGGTGGCCTTCAAGGACCAGAGGTAGCTGAGAAAGCGGAGGTCTCACCCCACACTTCCCCATCGGGTGGCATGTTACATGAAATCAACTCTCAGACCCAACAGCTACCCTACTGGAAACATCTGTTAGCACGAAGCACAGAAACAGACACCCCGCCTCTGCCCACGAGCTCAGGGAAGTCCCACTCTGTCCTGTCACAACAGCTTTTGTCAGGGTGAATTCAAGGACATGCTCACCAATGACTAGCTAACCTTCAGTCGGAGCATCACCTCTGGGGGCCCAGAACCACTCAGAGAAAGTTCCAGACCCAGGGCACTGCCCTGCTGGTGGCTGGGCTCGTCCAGGCACAAGCAGAGGGGACTTGTGGTGCTTCTTCCCAGGCATACATCTTCAGTAACACTTTTTTTTAACTACAGAACAATGATTTCTGACCCTCCCGTGCTAATGCACAGACCCTCTGCTGTGACAGTAGACAACCACATTTGAAGTGCTGGCTGTGGCTGCCCCTGGAGGGTAGACTGCTGCTCAGGTCTTTCAAAAACACCAACTAAAATTAACTCACATGCTCACAAAATCACAGCAGCGCTGAGGCGATTACAGCCAGCACAGCTGCCTGATCGTGGCCCCTGCTGGGCTCCGTGCTCTTGCCCCACAATGGCCACCTCTCTGCAAGGCACGCAAGACTCCTCACCTTCTGCTTCGGGAGTCCCTCTGACCCAAGTTGGCCCCCACCTTGTCCAGCAAGCCACTGACCCAGGGTGTTTTCTGGCCAGTCAGATACTCCCACCCTTAGGTCTCTGCAGCCCTCACCTCTGGGCAAAGGCCTGTGCTGGGGTCACCAGCAGGGTCGGATTCCAACCTATTCTGGAAGGTTGAAGGGGTGGGATATAAAAGAAAGTGGAGGTGGAGGTGGAGGTGGGGATGGGCTGAGGGGCCAAAAGATGTACTGGGGAAGAGGGCATTTCTTGGGGTCCTCCAACGTCCCAGCTCACGAGCTTCCCCCTCCAAGGGAGCAACCTGAGGTGCACAGAGTGGCCTTGTGACCAGGACACAGAACACACCTCCACCTTGGCTTGGGACTCCTGCAGCCTATGCAGCCAGCTCTTCTTCGCCCACCCTCTTCTCCTGGGATCCGCTGCTCTGGAACTTCCCTCTACCTCTGGACTCTGCCTTCAGCCAGGGTCTGGGACAGCAGGAAGGCAGATCCCATCGCAGACAGGCCTGCCTTCCTTGGGGCCTCACTTAAATCCACAGGAATCTGCTGGGGCTCTGCCCTCTGGCTGGGGCAGGTGGAACTGGCCAGATTGGCGGTGTGGGGACCACTGTGCTTGCCATAGGGACTGACTCAGCTGCCCCACAGGGGAGCACGTTGGAGTAACAGGGGAGGCTGACCTGAGCCTGGCCTGGCTCCACACTCCCCACTCCCACCCCACCATCAGAGACTCGCATTTAATTGTCATTCATTTCCCCTCTCTGAATTCAACCTAGGCACAGATCAAATGATTCCATGATGACAAACCACCTGTCTCAACTGACCAGATTCCTCTGGCAAACACTCCGCTGACCTTGGGCAGCTCCCTCTGCTCCCACCTCCTCGGGTCCTTGTGCTGCTTGTGGCCTTATGGAGTAGGCTGGACATCAATGATAACACTAACAGTAGCCGGCCTTCCACCAAGCTCTTTATGTAGGGGACGCCTATGTCTGTGCTTCATTGGTGTCACCTCACAAGGCTCTGAGCTGGCAGGAAATTGAGGTCTCAAGGGGAAAAGCCACCTGCCCCCAGTGACAGCCAGGAAGTGCAAGACTCTGACCCAACCCCCATGCCTGCCATCCCCAAACATTGGCTCAAAACCCCTTCCCAGGGACGGCTGTGTCCACCCCTCAGCAGGAGGAGGAGACCCCACAGCACCAGGTGAGAGGTCAGCGCTGAAACCAGGGAGGCAGTTCTCAGGAGGGCACCTGTGTGGAGCCAGGCAAACCAGGGCCACACTTGCAGGGTGAAGTGGGGAACCCAGAAGCCTGGGCAGTGAAGCAAAATGCTTGGTGCCCTGTGGGAACGGGTAGCCAAGGCGACATTGGGATGAAGGGAGCCGTGGAGCTGCAGGAATTGTGGGTGGCCCTCAGTGGCAGGCAGCCAGGCCAACAGGGGCTTTGGGCTGCAGGTCAGCCCCTCTCCTGCTCTCGAACTTTTGGAGGGCCATTACAAAGGGCATCAGCCCCAAGGTACTCCTCTGGAATTCTGCCTGAAAGGCCCTTCACATTCCCTAATTGGCACTTACAACATTCCAGAACATTCTATGGTACCTTAAGTTTCTCCTCCCCCTCCAAGGGGCCCTTGAACCTTAAGGACAGGGCAGAAGGGGCTCCTCACCCTGGCCTCAAGGGCTTAGGATCCAGCTGGGGACTCCTAGCCTCCCTGTGTGCTGGGCAGGAAAGTACCTCCTTGTCACTGCTGTCCCCGGGAAAAAAGGTTGAGGAAGGGCTCAGAGCCAGCCTTCAGACCAGGCAGGCCTCCTGGATGTGCTTACTAACTCTGGGCTAGCTGTTCACTGAGCTGGCTGGGAGTTCCCCTCTGCACCCCCATTTCTTCCCCTGTAAGGTGGGAATAATAGTGCATGCCTCTAGGATTAAGTGAACCAGTCGTTCATGGGCGGAGAACCAGGTTTGGCATATTGTAGCTGCTCGGTGGACGTTAGCGGTTATGATTGGACAACAATGTGCTTCCGTTTCAATTCTATGGGCATTTTGGAGGTCCTGCTGGATGCTAAGCACCGAAACCTCAACCCGGAACATTACCAGAACAACCTGAGCAACAGCAGGACCAGCGATGGCTCTCCCTGCTGGAGGATTCCGGAAGTCACCTGGCTGGACCAAGCCCCCTCCGTGTTCTCTGTCAGCCCACTCCCCACAGCAGCTAGGCCTGGTGTGCACAAGCAGACTAATAAAGGTTTGAGGACAAAAAGGGTTTTGAGTGATAGGTGAAAAAAGAAAGGAGATAGGGCTGGGTCAACAGGCCGTCCCTAGTGGTAGGGAGCCCTCAGAGGTCGGAGGAACCCCAGAAGTGGAGAGGGGGACAGGGTGGGGGCACAAAGAAGGCTTCCAGAGCCACAGCCTGGGCGAGTCCTGACATGGAGCCCAGCCTCATACGGCCTCTTCCCCTAGTGGCTGGCTTTGCTCCTGGCCCGAAGTAGCCCAACAGCTGGGAAAGGGGTCTGCCTGGGCAGGGGAAAGGTGCAGGGGCAGAAGGTAGCAGAAGGAGAAAAGGGGCCCCTGTCTGCCTCTGGCCCCAAAGACAAGTCCGAATGGGGCCAGAGGGAAATGGCCGGCCCTTGGGGTGCCCCAGGGTCTTGGAGGGGACCGGGTGTTCAGGTTTCGCACAAGTCCAGGAGGCGCCGGCGACCCTCCCACCCCCACCCCCACCCCCACCCCCACCCCAGGAGGCTCCGCCAGAACAGGCGTCCCCGGGATTGGAGGTGACCCCCGCGGGCTCCGAAGCCCCGCCTCGGCCGTACACTGTCTGCTAGGCGCGTTTGGGGAGCCTAGGGGCCGTCTCGGAGAAATGGGGTGGTCCCCGCCAGGCGGCGGCGGGGCGGGCCCGGGGTGCCGAAGGGGTTAAGGCACCTGGGCCACCGCCCCTGCCGGCCCCTCCCCCCGCGGCCGGGAAGAGGAAAGTCGCGGCGGGGGCGCGGCCCGGCCTCCGTCCCCGCCCGCCCGCCGTCCCGCCGGCCCGAGCCGCGGCGCCCAGAGCTGCGAGCTGCTCGCCCCTCCGCCGCTCCGGCCCGGGCCGCCATGTCGCTGTGGTGAGTGGGGCGGGGGACCGTCGGGGGCCTGGGCGGGGGTGCGGGCCCGGGACTCTCCCTCCTCTGCGGCCACCGACGGGCGCCGGGACTCCAGGGATGGGAGATGCTCCCGCGCGCGCGCCGCGCCGGCCTCAGTTTCCCGGTGACGGACGGGCGGGCGCGGCGGGGCGGCGATGTTCGCGGTGCGCGGCCCTGGATCCGTGGGGGGTGGCGGGGGTTCTCGGGGCGCCGCGCTCAGCTGCCCGGCCTCGCGGCCCCGGACACCGCTCCAGGACCCCGGCGGTGACCCCAGGTCTTGCCGGCAGCCGGGTCCCCTCGCCCTTGCAGACCCCCGAGGGCCCCCTGCGCCCGGGCCACTCGCCTCCTCTCGGGGCTTCCTTCCGCGGTACCTCCGGCCGCCGCCCGCCCGGCCCCTCTCCGCCTCTCTCGTGCTTTCCCTACGAATGGAGCGGACCCGGCAGGTGGAGCGCCCGCAGCCCAGGGCCTCGCTGCCCTCCCGGTGCACCCCCCGACCTCCCCCGTCCCGGCCTCGGTGGGCGGCTTCCCTGGAACCCCTAGGGCTGGCAGGGCCGGATCCGGAGCCCTCCGTTCCCCTCCCCGGAGAGCTGGACCTTGGGTCACACCCCCAGCCTGCACCTAAGGTGCCCCTGTCTTCCTCCAACTACGTGCCCTGGCAACCTGGGGACCCTATGGGGAAAATGTCGCTCTATGGGGCTCAGCCTGCATTCACCCTGGGGCCTGGACCTGCAACCAGGCCAGCCCTCAGGGCAACCCAGGCGTCTCCACGGGCTCCCTGTCTCTCCTGCCACCCTGCTCCTCCCCCTTGGAGGTCAGCGCCATCTCTCTGCTAGGCTGGCCCTGGAAGGCCACTCTGCATCCCCAGGGCTCTCAGCCCCCAGGTCTCCACTGGGGAGGGTCGGGCAGGTGTCCTGGCAGCCCCTGGAGGGTGAGATGAAGAGAGGAGGTCCTTCAGGACAGGGGCTCAGGCCCCAGGGCTTGGGACGACCAGCACTCCTGGCAGAGAGCTCGAATTTCTCCTTCTGAAATGGGTGTGACAGGGGTCTCTGGGCAAGGAGGGTCCCTCAAGGGCTGGGGCTGCAAATGTGTCCCCTCCCAGGGAGTAGAGCTGGAGCCTCATGTCTTCTAATGGGGTGTTATGAGCTAAGGATGTTATGGTAGAGGTGAGGGGCAGTGCCATGCTAGAGGTGCTCACTGCGTCCTTGGGCCTCCATCAACCATGAGGGCTGCTCTTTGTTGCGTGGGACAGACTGGAGAAGGGGGAGGAGGGCCGGTCTTCCTCAGGTCCCAAGTTCAAGCTGCTCTCCAGTGTGCCCCACATGTGATGGAGCGCCCAGGCAGCACAGAGGGTTAGAGGGTGCCCTCTCAATGACTCTGGCTCTGAGTCATCTAATGATACCGATACCTATTGCTGTGGAGGTTGCACAGGGAAATGAAAGGCATTGGGGTTCCAGGGGTGGGAAACAGGGCAGAGGTTTCCACCTTCCTGATAAGGTGACAGCATTCCCCCAACTGCACACCCACTTCCTGGCACTTTATACAGCACTCCAGTCCTGTGTTTTAGCCCCATTTGGGGGAAGAAGAAATTGTGGCCCAGAGAGGTTGTAAACCACTCAGTGCTCCTTGAGGAGAGGGCAGGGTGGGCAAGAGAGAGGGCACGGTAGGAGAGGAAGCGGGACCCTCCCCTGACCACTTAGGGGCTCCGGTACTGAGCCTGTGCCCAGGTCCACTTGCCCATCTGGGACCACCCAGCTTTCCAAGGGGGGCGCCAGGAAAGTCCTGGGCTCATCTTTTCTCTCTCCTCTGTACTGGCCACTCTCCCCCACAGGAAGAAAACCGTCTACCGGAGTCTGTGCCTGGCCCTGGGCCTGCTCGTGGCCCTGACAGTGTTCCAGCGCAGTCTCACCCCTCGTCAGTTTCTGCAGGAGCCTCTGCCACCCACCCTGGAGCCACAGAAGGCCCAGAAACCAAATGGACAGCTGGTGAACCCCAAAAACTTCTGGAAGAACCTGCAAGATGTGGCTGCGCCTACGCCCATGGCCTCTCAGGGGCCCCAGGCTTGGGACGTGACCACCACTAACTGCTCAGCCAATATCAACTTGACCCGCCAGCCCTGGTTCAAGGGCCTGGAGCCGCAGTTCCGGCAGTTTCTCTTCTACCGCCACTGCCGCTACTTCCCCATGCTGCTGAACCACCCAGAGAAGTGCGGGGGCGATGTCTACCTGCTGGTGGTTGTCAAGTCGGTCATCACGCAGCACGACCGCCGCGAGGCCATCCGCCAGACCTGGGGCCGCGAGCGGGAGTCCGCGGGTAGGGGCCGAGGCGCCGTGCGCACCCTCTTCCTTCTGGGCACGGCCTCCAAGCAGGAGGAGCGCACGCACTACCAGCAGCTGCTGGCCTATGAAGACCGCCTCTACGGCGACATCCTGCAGTGGGACTTTCTTGACACCTTCTTCAACCTGACCCTCAAGGAGATCCACTTCCTCAAGTGGCTGGACATCTACTGCCCCCACGTCCCCTTCATTTTCAAAGGCGACGATGATGTCTTCGTCAACCCCACCAACTTGCTAGAATTTCTGGCTGACCGGCAGCCACAGGAAAACCTGTTCGTGGGCGACGTCCTGCAGCACGCTCGGCCCATCCGCAGGAAAGACAATAAATACTACATCCCCGGAGCCCTGTACAGCAAGGCCAGCTATCCCCCGTACGCAGGTGGTGGTGGCTTCCTCATGGCGGGCAGCCTGGCCCGGCGCCTGCACCATGCCTGCGACACCCTGGAGCTCTACCCGATCGACGATGTCTTTCTGGGCATGTGCCTGGAGGTGCTGGGCGTGCGGCCCATGGCCCACGAGGGCTTCAAGACTTTTGGCATCTCCCGCAACCGTAACAGCCGCATGAACAAGGAGCCGTGCTTTTTCCGCGCCATGCTCGTGGTGCACAAGCTGCTGCCCCCTGAGCTGCTGGCCATGTGGGGGCTGGTGCACAGCAATCTCACCTGCTCCCGCAAGCTCCAGGTGCTCTGACCCCAGCCGGGCCACTGGGACAGGCCAGGGCACGTGCTCCTGAGTCCCCATGGTATTGGGGCTGGAGCTGCAGTGCCTAGGCCTAGCCCTTGGTACCCAAGGGGAGGTGGAGGGTTGAGGCCTACGTGCCACTGGGTGTGGTGGGGTGCAGGTAGCCAGAAAGTGACCTCCCTGTATGGATAATTCTAGGAAACTGAGGCCCAGGAACGGTTGGAGTTGCCCAGTCTGGAGGCCCTCTCTGAGGAGCAAGGCGCCAGGCCCTGGCAGCCCTCCTGACCTGGGTCCGTTGCTGGCCCCCTCAGACGTGGTGGGAGGTCCTGGTGACCTCTGGAGGAACCCTGTGCTCAGGTACCTGGACTAGGCCTGACCTGATGGGTCTGTGACCGCCCCTTGTCTTCACAGGGAAGAGTCTTCTGTGAAATGCCTCAGTCTCCCCAGAGGCCAGGTGGCCCTGGCAGGAGAAACTCAACCCTGTGCAGGCTCACAGGCACCCAGCAGTCCACACCCTGGTCTCCTGGGAGAGAGAGCCCAGCAGGCTCTCCGCAGCCCCGGGCCTGCCTGGAGACGGGCTGCCTCTGCTCCAGGGCCTCGGCTCCTGGCTGTGTCCTGTAAGGTCTGGAAGGGTGACCGCTCTGACTACCTCAGCACCCCTCAGCATCTCCCTGGGGCTGCAGTCCTCCCCTACCCTGACACAGGGCAGAAGAGCAGTGCTCCTGGCCCCCCGAAGTCCCGGAGCTGCTAACCCCCACCCAAGGCGAGTTCCTCCCGCAGCCCCCGCCAGCCCAGGCCTGGCTCCCTGGCTGGAAAGCAGCCGGTTTGGCCCTGGAAGTGGACATTCCTCTATTACTGTGAAGTTTTATTTATGAAGAATTTGGAGGGAGAAGGCTCCAGGCTTTAGGAGGGGTGGTGTCCTCCCTTCCCTTCCCTCATTCCAGCTGCCTGCCCTCAGCACCCCCAGGCCCCTCACAGCCCAGCCCCCTCCAGAGCCCTGCCCCACCGCACCCTGCTTCTCCAGGGCCTAGCAGACCAGCATCTGCCTGGTGAAGGGATGGATCAGCCATGGGGGTGGGTGCAGAAAGTTGCCACCTCCTACCTCAGCGGGGGTCACCTAGGAAAGATGG